TCGTGTATAACCAGAGAGGCTAAAGCCTCATTCACGGTCACCGTCCTAGAAACCCGAAACGATCAAAACAACTTTTTCATGCGGGGCCCTCTCGAGGACGCTGGATTATCCTTTTTCGGATGCCTCGACGTCCTGTTACCGGGGTGGCGGGTCCCCCCGCCGCTCTTTGGACCCCCTTTTGCGTAAGCCTCGCCCGCGAAATTCAGCCACCGAGTGACCTGGATTCTCTGTTATCCCATACCACCTCTCGGCTAGGCTACAATATTTACACGGATTCGATCTAAACAGCGGGGATCCATTGTAACGAACGAATCGAATTCGTTTCCGATGTCGTGCGAAATCACTCGAGATACGTAAGTCTCTCTGCCGTGGACGTGGTTTGTTTAGCGCCAGAGTTGGCCGTTTGTCACGAGAGAATCATGAAATGTCGATCGACCTCTTTTATTGTTCCGTTGTTTGCAATGTTTAAGTAAAATTCTGAAAGGAGGAATGTAGCCATGATGCCGCGTGAATTCTTGATAGCCGTGATACTTAGGCTATTCGTGATCGAATTACTTTCTTTTTTTTTTTAAACTTGTTATTTATCTATCGACCGTACTGTTCCTCAGTCACCAAAGCATGGAGAAAATATAATTTTCATATATGTAAAATGAAATCATTTTAAAGTTGAAAAAAAAAAAAAAATTTCCTATTTATAATCTTGCATTAGATTATTAGCGTTCGTTCAACGAACAGTCCTGTGAATAAACGTTTCATTAAAAAAGAAACAAAGTCAGTTTATCGCTTTTACCGCGTCGTGCTTGGTGGCCATGATACTTAATCCACTCGTGACCGAATTATCTTTTTTTAATTTATTATTTATCCGCCGAACGTACTGTTCCTAAGCAATACTAAATTCCGGGGTGTCAATGGTGTCCAAATTAAAAAGTATCATTCACGATTTTTATTAAACAAAAGTACGAAGCTAGGGTGAATAAATATTTGATTAAAAGTGGAAAAAACGAATTTACGACTTTTACCGCGGCGAACGATAAAAAAATACGCGCAGCGGTGGGTGTTAGCGGTAGAGCGGCGCTGGAATCAAGGCTGTCTTGACGTTATTTTGATCAACACGCGTTATTTATGGCTCACATCGTTAGAGAATTGGGAGTCTCACGTTTCGTAACAGCTTTACTATCGCCGATAAAATTATGCAACGTAATCTAATACGTATCTCGTTTCGCCGGTGTCCCAGGAGCCGGCTCGCCGCCGCGCCGCGTGCTTTTCGCTCGCACGAGCACACGCGAGCTGACAGCCGGGCAAAATCGACTCTTTGTTACGCGCCTTCCCGATAGCCACGCTCTCGCCTATATGTCCCTTTTATCCTCGCGCCGTTGCCCGTGGGAATCGAAAAATTCCGCCAAAATTTTCCTAACCTCGATTCAGTCACGTTTCAGAGAGGCTGATTAATATTTAATATCAATACCGGGAATTTTCGTTCGGGCCACGATCTTTCACGAAGAGAGAACACACACACAGCCACGCGTACAATTGTACGTGGGCGTCGATAATCACTAGCAATGTGCGTGCACACGCAAGCAAACACGTACATTGCATGATCAAAATTCGCAGTCGTTCGCACTCTCGTAATAACGTACACTTTTTTCTCTTTCTCGGCATATTAGGTTATTCCGTAAGTAACGAAAAATGTATTATAAAAGACTCGCGACTGTACGTTCGAATAATTTCGAAGAAAAAATTTACTCGAATTACCTATTATCGACGTTGATAACAATTTTGGTAACCAAGGTGATAACGGACACCGTATTGGTTATATACGATTTGTTTTCGTAATGGCGTCTCGTTTTTTCGCCGGGCCACAGACAGAAATCTGCTATAAGTGACCTACGTCGTAGATAAACGAAGCATGCACGATAACAGACGCTCTCGTCTGTTGTTTGTGCAATTCGCTGGTCGAGCATTTCGATAAACCAATACCAGAGAAAAGCAGTCCGATTTATTTATCAATAAACTCATTCACGAGATATTACCAGATTGAGAATTCAACGAAGTAAACATATAATCCTGTTTTCGTGCCTCGGAACGAAATGACATAGAGCTCTCTTTCTTTCTGGTTCGTTACAAACCACCGAGCGATTTCTCTCGTTACACGTAATAATCGTGGCCGGCGAGCCTCCGGAGAGGCCGCAAAAAAATACGAGCATGGTACTCACGTCATCGGCTCTGGTAGTCGGTCCAAAATAGTGCTTCGATTCCAAATAAATCCCGTCAAGTGGCTGGACGTTTCTTGAGCGGTCGAGAACGATGCTGAATATAAAAATAAAAATCAAATATTGTTGTAAGTTCGTGGACGACCAAGACCTTGGTTAAATTTAAAAGTGGTCAATCTAACCTCTAAACGTCTACGTCACAGCCGCCTGGATCGGCTCTTCGTTCTGGATTTTTACTGTCAACACGTAGTTCAGAGGTACACTGGACACGCACATTTACGCGAACGTATTGCTCGAAGGAAACTAACGACCGCGTGTCACAAACGAATGCTACGTCGCATTTACGGTTGAAGCGTACGTCGAGTACGGTATTAAGGCACGAACACGGTAAGGAGGTTGCGTCGCAAAAACATACGGACCGTATCGTGGCTATTGAGCTGCGCGACGCAAAAAGAACCGTGTCCATTCTTGCTAGAATTTAGCGTAATACGTAGTGTACCAAAGGGACAGCGGCGTAAATATTTACACCTCGCGAAACACATACATAGCTGTTTCATACGCGGCGATCCCTCGAAGCAAAGGTATACACAGAAAGGACAGAAGTGACATTCGGGAAAAAGAGACTGTTGCGAGCACGGTGTACACACAGACGGTCACCGGACCGGCTTATTTACCGACCGCAACAGCACGCAGTATATAACACGTCGAAGGCGACCAATGTACAATTTTTCGAACGATTTTGCCCTTGTTCGAGAAGTAAAGTAATACGAACGTGCTGAAAGTTATCGCGCGACAAGAATACGCGAGAAATACATCCTCCTATCGTCGGTATGCCTGTATAGACGTATCTTTGACTCGTTGCTAATTAGAAATACACACATACGTGGAATGGCGCACGTATACCATACATACTGTTACCACGTGAGCAACACAAGCTAAACGACAGAGAAACTCGCAAAAACTTTCGAGCAAGTAAGCATATCTTTGACTCGTTGCTAATTAGAAATACACACATACGTGGAATGGCGCACGTATACCATACATACTATTACCACGTGAGCAACACAAGCTAAACGACAGAGAAACTCGCAAAAACTTTCGAGCAAGTAAGCTATATTCGTGTTCGAATACCTGAAAGTTTTTTATACGGGATGATATAACGTAGGCAATGGTGCTATTCCCACATGTGTACCGTCCAGGAACGAAACGTCGAGACGCAAAAAAGAGAAGCAGGAATTCGGCGCCATTCCCGTCACCCTGACCCATGAACGCCATTACTGACTGCGCTAATTCGATATCTCTCCGGTGTTTCCTTTCAACTCGTCCAGCTTG